AGGGGCGAATTGTTGTCGGATCAGCTTCCTACAACAGATGAGCATGGAATACTAGTAGGCAAATATTCAATCAGAAACTTACACTTGTCAAACGAAGATAATTTTTTTCTAACTTTTGACATGTACCGATTATTGTTTTTTGTTCACTGGAAGGAATGGCGACACCGGGAGCTTGAATCTAAACAAAAGCATAAAACAGATCAAAAGTGCTGCAATGGTCTACAAAGCAAATGCCAGTCGAAAAACTGCTGAACTGACCGGTTTGAACTCTTTTTCAGTTTTCATTAATGACACTTGTTCGGTAGTATTTTCTGACTGTTGCTGTTCATCGTTATTAAAACGATTTCGACGTTTTTCTAATCGTTCACTTAGCTCTTCTTTTGATCTGAAAAGAAGTCAAATTATTGTAATCTTTTGTACCTTTCATGCATCTCTACTCACTCTCCACCATCCATCGTTGCTTGCATCTTTTTAATTTGTTGTTTTGCACGACGTTGTTGCTGTTGAGAATAACGATTCATATTTTTAGTACGTTTACGATTACTACTGTTAAAAGATGTGTTCGATGGACTTGAACTACGTCTAGAAGTAGAAAGACAACAAATGAATGTTTTGATCATCATCTTCTCTTCACTACACACACACAAACTAGAATTTATCTACTACAAGTAAGAAGCAACTGTCCTTGTTGATGAAAGATAGTGAGGCTTAGTTCACTGACTCAAGACAAAAATATCTCGTCATCGTATAAGATTACTATGGTAGCATACTTTCGATTTCGACTTGAATATGAATCGGTTGAGTCGTCCGAGGATGACGTTGATGGACGTTTCTCTCCATTTTTGCTGCTATTCGATACATTTTGCTCACATTCACTCAACAATGACGACAATGTATTATTTTGTGAACGTCTTAATTTATTCAAACGTGAAAGATCTTCTTTTACTTTTCCATCTAAAGAGGGGGAAGAGGAAGATGTGTTGCTCGATCTAGCAATTTGAATTAAATCTGCTGTCGTCGAATCAATCGAGACATTTTTTCTATCGGCAGAAGATGGTGCCCAACTGTTCTGATTGTTACAACGATTTTGACATGCTGTAAGTAAAAACCTAAACAGAAACAATCGTTATGACTATCACTTCTCAACTAATAACCAAACTTACTCTGGAAATGGTTTTTTCGTCCAATCTATCGTTTGTACAGTATTTTTTTGAAAAGCTTCGACCAAAATGCCTTGTAACCATTCTTCAGCCTGTGAACGCAATAGTGGTGTATAACAAACACTCTCAATTGACTGCCAATATTTTCTAGACAAAAAACGAGCAATATAGTTTGTTAGTAGAGAGATTTACGACAGGACAGACTCACCTCAATGTTTCTGGCCAATTTTTTCTATCACACGCTAATGTGAATGCTTGTATGGCACTCATTGGTTTTTGTTGGATATCGACAGTATCCATTTTATCATCATCCGGAGTTGTTTCAAATCCTTTTGGTGGGGATGAAAAGCGTGTTTTTCGTGCTGGACGCGTATGATTTGTTAACGAACCAATTTGAGGTGAATTTTGTCGAGAACTAACGTTCATATTTCCATTTTGTGAACCTCCGATTTGAAAACGAACCATTGGCTGTTGTTGATTAGTGTTGAATCGAGTTGGTTGTTGCTGCGGTACCGCTAAGTTAGATGGAGGAGGCACATTATTATACGAAGGAAGGGAGGGATTTGGGGCTGCAGTATTGTTATTGTTCTTATTCCAATTATTAAATCTTTGACGATATGATTGATTTTTCCCCTTGAATGTATCTAAATAGGTAATAGGATGAAAAGTGAGTTTTTACCATGAAACTTTCTTTTACTTACTCTGTTGCAATTTGCCAAGATTGCTAATGTTTGCTCGGACACTGTTGTTATTATTTACATTCAAGTTGTTGTTAGGTCCGTTAGCATTAGTTGATGAAGGTTGCTGAAATCGCTGCTGAGGTTGAGCTGTAGCAGCGTTGCCATTAAACATTGTTGGAGGCGTTTGTTGAGCAGCAAACTGATAAAGTTGATTCTGGTAGGCTTGAGCTTGTTGGTAATAACATGACCATTGTAGCCACTTCTGATAATATTCAGTGTCATAAGCTGAAGCAGGATTCGACGTTGCTTGCGAGTTGTTTGCTGTCACAGATAAAGTTGCTGTTGTGGGTTGTTGTTGTTCGTCGGTTCTAGTGGAAGTTTCTGCTGAAAGTGATGCTGATGGTAGCAATTCAACTTTTGATTGATCATCCTACATGAAATAGATGATGGATTTCTGTAGAGAAGCAAAAATTAAAATGCAACATACCTGAGTTTTAGGTGGTGGGGTAGGAGGCGGTGGAGGAGGAATCAATTGCGCTGTTGGTGTTGTCGAAGATGGTAAAGGTGGAGTAGGCATTCCAGGATACATACCGTAACTGAAAGAAAAGAAAGTAAAGGATACTGAAGAAAGCATTAACCAACTAAAAACTACGAGGATGCTTCACTCAAGTTTCGGCAGTAGGTAAGTTATCCTACGAAACACCGCAAAGTTTTCAGTCAAAAGTTGACGCCTAAAGTCTTTCGAATGAAAACAATACAAAATCCTCTTCTCTCAATGAGCCGCCTTTGCGAAGTTAAGTTTTTCTTCTACGTACAACGGAGAAGCATTCATATAATATCCCATTTGTGTAAGTCTTTCTTGGTTATCGTAAGAGGTTGATTGCGACATGCTTGGTTCTATAACATTCACTTCAAAGTTTTCGATCTAAAATGGAAGCAGTTTGGTAAACAATGCATGTTTTTGTAATAATGTTTGACAATAACTGAGATAAAAGATTATAGTCAAATATAGTCACTTTGCAAAGTGACTATATTTCAATGTTTTCACTCGCCAGAGATGCAATAGATATCTAGCAAATACGGAATATCTCTTTTCGTATGTGTTGTTAGCTCTATGTCTACAACATATATCTTGTGCGAAAGAGATTTCTTATTTGTTATTAGGTTCTTAATATAGTCGTAATAATTCAGTATATACAAAGTATGCGAAGAGAGAAAAAGATGTATATTATATTGCATTGAGACTAGAAATTGAGGAGTCGATGAGAAGAAAATGGTGGATTTAGGTTTGTTGGAAAACTAAGGCTTCGTTTTTCTGCTGAATCCTAAAAATCAATCATTGAAAATTTTTTGCAAATAAGTTAGAAACAGAAATATTTGGTATTTACATAGATGGCGCTACCAAGCTGTGCTATGAGACGTACTTATACCTGTGCGACATAGATGTCGCGACTTCCAGATTCATGACGGGAGACAATTAATCCAAAACCTTCGTATAAGTAGTATGAAAGCCTTTTGTTTTCTCTTTTATTGGGAAAAACAAAAAACTTTTGAAACAATGAGTGAGGGTCATCCTCTAAATTCCCGCTGGTCGCACCCGCTTTGTCTTGCGATACCACCTATGACTTTTCTATCCCAGTCTACTTTCCCTGATGAAGTCCTCAAAAAAGCGTGAAATCCGTCGGAAAGTCTCATGGATTCCCTGTAAAATCCCTGAGGATTTCGTGAGGATCACGGGGCAGAGAAAAATAATGAAGTCTGTGGTGATTCACTAGTGACTCTCTAGAAATTTCTTAGGGAGAATGTACAATATATTTACCGTTTTGTTTTGCGTCTGCTGAAGTATATAAAACGTGAAAATTTAAACAGGAACATCTCCTTTTTTTTGGATTAATTTCTTTCTTTTTTCGATAAGTGTAGTGTCTACACTGTAAACTCGTCCGCGTTAACTCGTCGTTTCAACGTGACTTAATTTTTCAGCCGAGTAACTCGTCCACTAGACGAGGTTTACTGAGTGACTCAGGCGACAAAGAATTTTGGAAAGAAAGTGATAGTTTTTTTATATAAAATAAAATTCAATTTGATAAAAAATCGATGAAAAAAACCTAAATTACTCTTAAAATTGAGCACAGGAGTCGAATTCAGCATTTATTCGTTTTGGGGAACCCCTGAGAAATCCCGCTAAACTCGCTGGGGAATCCGTTAGATGATTCCCTAAGGATTTTTCCAAGAAAAGTGGACTAGGGTATACTACCTGATATTTCGGTCTGCAATTTTTTACTGACTATTAATTATATAATTATATGAAAGTTTATGTTTGTTAAATATTTGGCTTCGATTGTACATATATTATCCAAAATAATTTAGAGTAGAAGGATCCTTAACTACAGTTCAGAGTAAAATACTGTTTAATTTGAAGGTTAAACCAATAAGTTTGTACATACTGAGACGAAATGGCAGGTTTTCTTTAGCCATTTATTACAGATGGCTCATGCACAATATAAGTGTGATAAAAATCTCTCGAATGTTTCAGTTTTCGTCTAAATCACACGTCTTTAACAAGAATATCGATAAATATTTTTCTGGATGATGATAATACAAAACAGCTATTGGAAAAGAAAAATAAATACTCGAAAGAACAGAAATCGAAGTAAACGATATTATGGACATCATTTCTCACCGTTTATATCCAATTGATCGGAGTTGAAAATTTACAAGCTAGCTTTTTATAAGAGATCAATCAAACGATTTTATGTGGGAAGTAGGTGTTTCTATTCAGCTCCGCCCATCATTACATGATACAGTAATCGTAAAAATGTCGATACTCGTTTCGCGCAGGGCATAGAAAGTTACACAAAAGCTCCTAATCCCTCGAACAAAAGTCATATTCTACATGTCTTTTAGGAATGTCAAGTTTTGACCTTTCTTCTAATGAAGCAACATTGATCTTGTTGTTTTCTGCATCGACAGAGCTTGCACCGCTGTCCGACGTACCACATGAAAGAACAGCTCTAGTAGTACACATACAAAGAGTTAGTCTTTTACTGTTTTTAGGTTTTTAGTTTATACTCCAGAAGAAGGTCCGGTTTCCAAATGTTTCCATATCTTATTCATACAAACGAACACTGGAAGGAGACCCAGTCACCGAAAACGGACTACTTGCATGCATTCTTTCGTCTGTTTAAAATTCAATTTTTTTCTGTTATTTTTTACGAACTATACGTAAGTTTTGATGCTGAATCTTTTTATGATATTAGTTTTCTGAAAAAAGCTTTTGGCTAAGTTAATTTAATTTAATAGAACAGAGGTATACAAACTGAGTTTTATCTGAACACTTTTTGATTTAATTTCGAGGTAATGAATATATTCTAGTAACTTTAGACAGTGTTGAAATATTTATTCTTCATAGTATGTTTAGTCGCAGGGAAAGTAAACACAAGTTGATTCAGTTTTTGTATATTATATTCTATGTAATATCCGTTTAGCTGTTACTTTTTCAGTCTTGTCTACAGATACATTTAGAGAAGGAAGTTTGGCTACGTTTGTACCACACTGCTAAAACCAATAATACTTTATGTTTGTTTTAAATGGAAGCAAAACAATTTAAAAAAATGACTTCGCAGTAGGATTAGACCCCTTTACCCATCCGCCATCTTGAATCTTTACGAAATGAGATAGATTAAATCGGTAGTTTTTGGTGCCGAAAATATGCCAAGAGGTGCTTTATTAAAAAAAGTGCTTTTCTCCTCTTGGTTTAAACACATTGAGAAGAAAAATGAACAGCTTTTTTTAGAAATCCAAAGAAATCGGAAGAAAACGTCTAGGCTGTGATAATAGAAAATAAGTTGTTTGCCGTCAAACTTTATCAATAAGGATAGTACAGTAAATCTGCTTTTAAAAGTAGCTCAAAGAATGAAAACTGTTATCGAAATGGAGAATTTTTCTAGACTGCTTTGTTAGACTTAAGGAACGCTTTATCCGAAATGCTTTTTGAACAATTGTTCGAAAATTGCTACAGAACAAAGAGAAGTTCTGTGTTTTTTTTGTTCATTTTACGGCAATATTCTTTGAACAGTTGTTGAACGTTTTTGAAAGCGGAATTACGAGCGAAGTCTAGGAGAACGTAAAAAATTCGGTTGTTTCAAGTGTAATTTAGATAAACGGCTAAGAGCAAAACAACAAGAGGGATCACAGACGTAAACCAGCCGGTCAACATCCAACGAAAGATATGGATAGATAATCGATCGGCCATCAGCAGGACCGCCCGCCCGGTTACATTTGCGGGAGGATGAAAGCAGAATTACCGTATCTTATTAAGATTTTATGAAGTAACATCTTATTTTATTTTGTTCGTATTTCTCCCGTCTAAAGTCCAATCACAGAAAATCGAAGTTGACGATTGCAGCAATGAAGATAAGGTGAAATTCTAAGACGAACAATGTGTATGATCATATTATGCGAAAGCGTAACACAGATGAATTCAGAACAACAAGTTCACTGACGATTCACATGTTACAATTGAAAGTCTGATTCATCTGAAACGTTGTTAGTTTAGCAGAGAAAAATCAATATGGTAGAAATAATCATAGAAAGAAAACTATGGATTTTTGAGAGATGCGTCAGTCTGCCTTCTTCATGTCTCCTAAATAAAACATTTGTGAAGTTTAAAGATTTGAAAATTTGTAGTTTGAGATAAAGAATTGAATGAGTATGATTAAAAAGAAATCTATTTTTAGAGCATGCTGCGAACCTCTTTACACAGGATTGCTACTCTTATAGATTTTCTTTTAAGTCTCAGTCTTTTTAAATAAAGACTCTTTATACTGAGTAGTTCAAATAAAACTTATCTTATGTAAGATTTTTACTTTTTACATTTAGAAGAAATTTCATATATTCTCCTTCTCCAAACAAGGCAGAGTCATCTGTCAATTCGGTGTCAGGATATATTATAGGAAGATGAAAAGTAGAACAGAATACTTACACTGTGCCCTCAGTATTATGAGCAATATTTGAAATTTTAGACAAATAAAGTAAACGATCTGTTTTTGACGATTATCAATAAATTTGAATATTCTCTATGAAAATTGATGACGATGGCAATGTATAGCAAGAGCCATCTATAGTATTGAATCGAAAAATATCGAGATGTACAACAAATTCTTAGCTAAAAAGTTTATCCCGCCAAGTAGACTAGACGTTTACGTTTTCAAAGTTGAGGTTCAAAAAATAAATTTTCTAAACTATCATTTTTTGCGATGTTCTTCTAAATTTTTTCATCTAATGGATTGAACTTGGAAATGTTAAATGTAACATATAGTTCTCAACGTGAAATACGCCATAATCGTTGTCAATTATTATTGCATGAAATTAATTATGACAATTTTTTACGAACACGTATTGCTTGTGTAAAGTCAAGTGTTCCACAACAAATGCAACGTCCACGCCATTTAGTCACACATCATCGTGTCCATTTTGATCATAGTCAAAATCTAACTGAGATACATCGTCAAAACATGATTTTATGTAATAAGATCATGCATGCTTGGAATACAAGTCAAATTGATTGTCATAATCAATGTTATACGCGTTATCGTGTTAGTCATTATCGCTTAAATCAAAAAACTTTTAAAAATGCTGTTGATAAAGAAAATCGTCGACTTATATGTTCGTTACACCGTCGTCGAAAAACTTATATTTCATCACATGAACGTAATGCAGCCTACAAATCTTATTTGGATCACTTGAAGACACAAAAAAGAATATCGAAATATCCAAAAACTAAAATAAAAAGTTCATTTTACAAACAAATAATTGAGAAAAATTTGCCAAGCTCAATTTATTATTACTATCCAGATATGTATCGTAAAATAGATAATCGTAAACTTGGATGTTTTTCGCGTAAACGCAGTACACATGAACGTTATTCGACTTTACATAATTGTCGTTTTCCACAATTTTCTCTACGTATGGTAACTGTCGAGGATAATTTTAATGAAAAAAACCTCGATAGAGAATGGCAAGAATTAGTCGCCAAAGGAGATGCATTTCTTTCTCCTGATCAAAAGAAAAAATTGGCTCGACCTGTCTGTATCGATAGACTCAATTATTTGGATAGTGGAGATGCATCGGAGTCGTGCAGAAAACCGTACTGTATTAGTGATTGTATGAAATACTATGATATCAAATGTTCACCAATTTCTCAATCACACAATATAGTTGAACATCTACGACGATGTAGAGATGCTCCACCAAATAAGAAGACAATTGTTCAAAAAATGTTAGAAAAATCCACTCAAAAAGCTATTTCTGTTTACGCACAACCATTTCCCGACGTGCTAATAGTTAATATGCCGAGAAAGTGTCATTATGAAGGCAAATTATCAAAATCATTAAGAATAAATCGTTTAGAAAATGGACAGGATATACATAGACAATATGGTTTATCAAAAACAAAAACTTGTTGTACCATACGCGGCCTTTCCCTTCATAAACGGCAAGCAGAGCTTATTTACATTTATAATACATACAGAAGACGATCGACAGGAACAAAACGATCTTTTAATGCGAAACAGTATGTGAAACATCGGACATTACCAGTATCCGATACTTCAGTTGACTTCAGAAATGAAGTGGTTGAACAAAAACAGAGAAACAAAAAGACTGACGAGGATCAAAAACTTTTCCAATATTTTTAACTTTTCTTCTTATTGAGTTTCTGTATGTGTCTTTAGAGAGCTGGTCTCCGAAGATCCATCACGAATCTACGAACCGAGAGATTATTATGTGGCCAGTTTGTAAAGCATATCGAGTTATCTATGTGAGAAAATTTTAAAGCAAACTAAACTTTTCAGCTTTTATTTCAATAAAAGCATAATTCGATAACTTTGAGAATTTAGTCACATAGATAACTCGATACGCTCTACAAACTGGTCATATAAGGATCTCTCGATTCGTAGGTTCATGATGGATCTTTATTCTCATGAACTCATGTTAACAATTGCAAATTGCGCCTAACTCTCACGTTCGTGCAGTGACGGAAAAAAAAATCAGGCATGTAGGTTACAATTTTGGCAGAAAGCGCCGGAGAGTGAGCGTTCTCTTAAGCGGGAGCCCCCCATCCGTTTTTTTTACCAGTTTGTAGGGGACACTTCGGAGTATACGTCTTAACAAAGCTTTCAGTTCCTGGATTTGTACTTTTTGATAAAAAAAATTTTGAAGTTTTTTTCGGGTTTTCTGCCCTATTTTTAAAATTTCAATAAAAACTTTAGCTTTTGATATGAGGAGTTGATTCTGGCGTAGGTCGATAGAGAACATTGACTTGTATAAGGAGAAAAACTTTACATCGTCCTCAAAATGAAGTTTGACGGAGAAATTTAACTTTCACCTTCCCGAGGAAATTTTAGAGCTAAAAGTATTTTGAAAAAAGCCTTACGGCTAGTTTCGCTCGAAGCAAGCATTTTGAAACAAAACTCTGGATA